TTTTCTATTCTCTCAACTCAAATATATTATTAATTTATCTATACACATCTCAAAATTCAAATTTAATATTTTTAAATTAAAATTTTAAACTCTTAATAACTTTTCTTGCAAAGGAGCTTCCATCCTTATTTCCTTGTATGTCAAGTACTCTTTCCTTTTTTTGTCTCTACCTATCAGTCTTAAATTTCAAACCTAAACTCTAGCATGAAAGTTTAAACACAACCTCATTGGATATCTATTAGCACTTAAGAGACGCCATCTACTTTTCTTTATCCATTATTTAATCACTTGTAATGGCATCTCCTAAAATAATTCAGTGGTTATCTCCTTTCACTATAAATAAGAGGTCTTAAGTTAGAGTCGTATGACATGCGGGTAGTATAAAATAAGAGATGAGAGATGATTATCTCTCATTGTGAATCAAATTTCTTTTTTTAAAAAAAAAAAAACAATTGTAATGGCTGGGCATGTTTATCAGAGCTTATAAGTAACAACTCTTAAAAGCACCATTTCCCCTCTAAAATTAAAAATGTTTTATCCATCCTATACCCTTATAATAAGAGAATTATTGGAAAATAATTGCTACTTTTTGTCTTTAAAAAGATAAAATTGAGTTTTATTCTAATTGTAAATACCACATACTAGTTTTTTTTTTTTTTTTTTTTTGTCCATTTTGAATTAAAAATTCAAAAATGATCCATTTTACATTTGAATTATAAGCAACACAGCCAAACACCCCATGAAATTCTTTAGTTACCATATTAGAGAACACAGGAAAACACTATTAGAGTGTATTGGCTAATAGTTTAAGGTACCCTCAAATTCTCCTATAATGAAATCTCCTATAGTGAGAATTGCATGCAAGTGAAGCCACACTAACCTCAAGGAACTGATTCATAAAATTAACAATGGTTAGCAAATTATGTTTAAAAAAACGAAAAAATTTCCTTAGCAACCACCAAAATGAAAACTAAAATTTAATCTTGAAGTAACGTGGTTCTTTAAATTATAAATTAACAAAGCCATTGGATTATGAATACAGCGAACTTCATTTAACTTTAGAGTTTTGTTCAAACAAATTTCTAAAACACTGGAAATCTTAGGAACAGTAAATGTGCCCAGATAACATCTCATATTCCCATGTACAAATAGCAATCTGCGAAGAATGAACAAAATCCAGTCTATCAAATTTAACTTTACAATTAGAAGGAACAATGCCCAATAACAAGGTCTTTGGATTTTTGGCACTAATAATCATTGGAAACCTATCTATTTTTGAAGCCAATAAATTAAGTATGAATTGTTTTCAGAATTGTGATCGTGATGGTGATGATGATTTCCTTATCTAATGAATTTATTGTTTATGCATTGTACATTTCAGCTGCATGCATGTATGCATCTATTCTCACCCTCAGATATGGATCAGGCAGGTTAAAGATAGTTGACAGCAAAGAATGATAGAAAAACTTGAAATACAGTGAAAGAATGCATATCAGAATGTAATTTTTCTTTTTCTTTTTTTTTTTCTTTTTTTCTTTTTTTTTTGTTGAAAATTGTATCCATCTTATACCTATGGGGCCACAAACCATCAAATCAAATTGAAAATTTTACTGCACAAAATTGAATTTCACAACATGTAACATGTAAAATCAATCCCAAACTTTTAAGTTTGAAAAAAAAAAAAAAACCCCAGCTGAAAACAGAGAGTATAAAATCTACAGAGCAACTAACCTTAGAACTCAAGGAATGCAGGGAAATCATCAACTGAATTCTCTCCAGCACTCTCAGACTATATAATAAAAAAATCTTACTATAAAAGGAAATCAGGAATCACTGCTATTTGTGCAGAAACATTTGAGGGCTCATCAGCCCTTTGTCTGTGCCTACCATGGAGATGACTGCTCTTCTGCTTCTCTTTCCGACCATTATCTCGTCTTTCCTCAGCATTCTTCTTCCTAGGACTTTTGTGTCTTCTCTCTTTTTCATGGCTATGGTGTTTGCTTCTCCTTGAACTAGGATTTCCATCATCAACTAAATTTTCTTTCAATTCCAGATGAAGATCTCTATTCTGTTTTTCCTTTCCTTTTCTCTTGCTGGATGGCTTATCAGAAAGGTTACTTTGTGATGAAGTGCCTATTATGGTTTCACTACCTAAAAGAACATCCCGCACAGCATCTGACAATGAGTCATCTTTTGGGTCTGGCTTCTTGGTTACAATAGGCATCTCATCCCCATCATCCAATTTAACCACCACAGGCCGAGGCTTGGTATGACTTGGTTTTCTCCTCGGAGCAAATGACTGCTCTGCAAATTTAATCAAATCATTGGTGTCATCAGTGGCAATATCCTGTGACCTGGGATCATTGGCAGGAGGATAATCATTTGAAATAGTTTCACTCTTGTCTGAAGGAAGATAATACAACCCATGACGCTTACGATGTTCAGCTAGCAGAGATGTGGACTCATTTGATTGTTCTAAGCCTTCTTTAATCTCAAGATTAGACAAAGAAATCCCAACTGTCTCCTCATAACTGGTACTGTCAAAAGAAAAGGAGTTTGGTGAAGGTAGTCCTATATCACCACAAATAGCTTCCAAGTCAATTAGATTCTCCTTAAGGATTAACCCATCTGGTAGAGGAACTCTTTCCTGGGCACTTACTGACACAGGACCAAGCTCCTCAGAAAAGGCATCATGCATCAGTTGTACAATTTCAGCCACCTCCACTTCTTTCCCTTCAGAACTATTTTCCTTATGAGCTGAAGAATTAAGCACTTTTTCCTTTATTAAATCAATAAAACCAAGTACATTCAGTGCTCTCTCCAGTATTTCCACATCATGACTTCCAGAGAGTGGGCTTAAGGCCAATTCAACCACGTTCAACAGGTTTACAATAGATTCATGTGAGAAATTGTTTTTCTCCAGAGAAGCAGATGGAGATACCTCCCCAGGAGTAACAGTTGCACTTGCACCATTTCCCACTGAGAGATCTGCCAGTGATTCATACAAATCAGATGATGGAACTCCTGACTGCAAATTATCAGGCCATGAGGAAGAAGCAGTACTTTCCCTTTGCAAAAGGTAAGTAAGCAGACAAAATGTTAACACTTTAAAGGCAGACTGAATATATATTGCTCTAATAGCAGGTGGCAACAAACTGGTGCGAGGTTGCAATAAAGCTTCCACAAGTTCAAATGGGTTCCTTGAAAACTCAACATATTCCCCAGACACCCAAGCAGCAGCAGATAATATTCTGTGCAAGAATGGATTACCAAGTAAAGCAGGATCAATCAGCAGATCACGGCCAACATGAACAAGTTGTGGCCTAACGTCCCTGACCCTCAAGCCAATGTCAATTAGCTGATTTTCAATTTCTTCTCCCTTCTGGCAATGTGGGATTCTTGACATTTCCCCAAGAAGTGATGCATACCAATCAAAGTCAACAATCATCCCATACACATTTCCAGAACACGTTGATAAAATGGATCCAATAATCCAATTGCAAAACTCAGGGTCAGATTTAAGTGCATAATTGAGCAAAACCTTTGAAATTTCAGCCACATTAGTCTCAGACACCATTTCCATCACAAGGCGCAATGACTCAACTTTAATAGTAGGATCCACATCACTTAATGACTTAATCACAATCTCCTTATTCTCCAAAACTGCCCACAAGTGCTTCTGTGCAACAGTGGAAAGCGCTTGCAGCCCAAGATACTTAAGATTTGGATCATCATCCAACAAAAACTCCCGGATTTTTACAACTGCAAGTTTCATAGCAGACTCGTAGTCACTCAAACCACTTACAACAGTCCTAACACATTCAAACAATAAGGATTTAGCTACAGTCCTTCTCATATAATCACAAATCGGCTCAACAACCCTTTTAGCCAACCTCGGTTCTAATGGAGCCAACTGCGCGAAAATCTTCAACACCTTAATCAAAACCCAATTGTTCCTAGAATCCACCAAAATCCTATAAAACTCAGGTGCCAGAGGAAGGTAAGACCTGGGGTCCTTGGATGCAAGCTCACAAAAGACCCCCACAATTGCAGACACAATCTGGGGATCAGAACTCTCTAAATTCTCTACCAAACGCTTGAAACACACCCTAACAGCATCTGGGTACTTCTCAAAAACCCTCAAAACTACACCTATGGCCTGCTTGCGGACATGAACTTTACTACTAGATAACAAAGTGAAAATCTCCGGAGTCAAATCCCTAGCAAGATCGACATTAGCAATTTTCGACAAGCATTGTAGAGATAAACTTACTTCATACTCATTGGTGCTGGTAAGATCCTTGCGGAGATGGTTGGTGATGAGAAGGAGCACAGGGGTGGTATCGTGGAAGCAAAGAGAGATGGCGTGGTAGGCGATCTTCTTGTGGGCAAAGCGAGGGGAGGAGAGGACCTCGAGGGCGTGGAAGTCCGCGAAGGACATGTCGTAGAAGTGGAGGGAGCTAAGGTAGGAGAGCTTGAGGAGGGCGGTGGACTTGATGGAGAGGTCAGTGGATTTGATCTCTCGTCTGATTTCCTCCATAGCCTTGGAGATGAAGGCAGGCTCTCCGATCAGCTGCTGCCTCAGGCCCTTGATTAGGTCCTCCAGAGTCCGCTGGAAAAGGGTGTCCATCAGCGACGCACCAGCCATCGGAGAAAATCAAGGAATCGGACGGATAATTCAGAGAATTGAGAAATTCCTCCTTATCTACTGAGGAATGGCATCGGAATTTGGGTTCGCAGTTGCAGAGGGAAGAGACAAAGTGGTGTATTTTGCACTGCCAGAAATGGTGTAACGGAGAAGCTTTTTTTTTTTTTCTTTTTCTTTTTTAATGGAAGAAACGACATGGGCCGAAGCGGTCTGTTTGGATGCAGCGGAAAACCCATAAGTAAAAGAAAGTGTACAAGGCCCTGTTTGTTCTTCGGCCGGAAGGCCCTGTTTGTTTGGGTAGCAGCTTTAAACTTCACTATTCTAAAAGTTGGATCTTTTAGAAGTTTATAAAACACCTTCAAACATGGTAAATAAAAAGTGTATTTTATATTTTTATTCAAGGTTGGAGTCTATTTACACATGTGTAAGTCTTTGATAATTTATCAATTAATTGTTTCGATGATGATGCTATATTTAGTAATTTAATCCCAGTTGTTGAATTATTAAAAGGGATTGTTGAAATTTAGAATGTCCAAATAATTAAAATGTCAAGATTTTTTATAAAATTATTTAAAGATCTTTAATAAATTGAATTTTCACTTTTCTCTTATTAAAATTAATAATGATAATTTAAATTATCATTTACGTATGTATGTGGCTTAAATGTGAATGATATCTTTACTTCTCTCAATAAGCTCAAAACTTTACCTTTAAAGAAAATTTTAAAAAATAATTAAAAAAATAAAGTATAGTATGAAAATAAGAGAATAGTATGCATTGGGCCTAACTCCTCAATTTTTAACAGTCTTAAATGATGTGACATTCCCTTAGCCATTCAATTCCACTAGAGATACGAGTGTTATGATAGAGAAACACTTTAGTAAATTGACATAAACTTTATATTTTAATTTGAATAGTTGAGGGAGTGTTAAATGAACTAGAAATTCAAACATAAAATTCAAAGTGAGAAAGAAAGTTTCATCCAAATCACATCTTTAATTCTTATTGAAATGTTTTGTAACTTGAAGTTTCACCTTTTGTTCAACAAAAAATGGTTTTTTAACTTGAAACTTACTTGTCTTTACTCTTGATCCCACGTAATTAAAAATAACTACTCCCTAATAGTTATTTTTAACTTAAAATTTTTTAAATTAATTTTTTTTTCATATTATAAAGAGAAATTCATTTTTTCTATTTTAACCTTATTATTATCAAATCACTTTAGTTATACATCCCATCAAAAGAAATTTCTATTTATCTATAACTTTTTAAAAATATATATAATATAAATAAAAATATAAATTATCTCTAAATTTTTAATTTTAAAAAAAAACCAATAATGTATTATTGTTTAACAGATTGAGTAGCATTTAAACTTACTGATTGAGGTAAAGTATATACAATGAAAGTTCTCTCTTATTATTCTCTTCTTTTTTTTTTTTCCTTTCTTTCTTTGTTTTTTCTTTTGCCTTTTAAAATTAGTTTTTGGCTATTAAATTTTTTTTTTTTTTTTGGCCTTTTAAAATTAGTTAGAATGCATGTGTTAACCATGAGGTTGGAGTAGGTTCGACCCCTTCCTCTAGGCTCTAGCGCTACATTTTTCTAGTGCACATTTTTTGATTTAACCTTTTGCATTTTGGATCAATCAGACCTCAGGCCCTCAATCAGTCCGTAATACTCGTAAACTTTGGGCTTTGTTTATGGTATCTTGGGCCGAGCTATCAGCTGTCTTTTAAAGAAAGATTTACCCTTTTTTTTGTCTGCTTGTAAATTCCCAGGCCCAAGTACTGCCACTGGCATAACACTAATTTTCTACTCCTGTAAAGACAGTTGCTCATGGTTAGAGAGAAACTGAGGGGGTGAGGAGGTGAGAGAATTCCATTTTCCTTACTTCTCCTCTTTTTATTTAGATAACTAAATGAATTTTTTAAAAAATAAAGCAAATGGCTTTTTTTCTCCTCTCATCCCCTACAATTCATTTGATAACTAAATAAAAAAAGTTTCTCTTTTCTCATTTTTCCTTAACCCAAATATACTATTAGGCTATCAGTTAATGAAAAAAAAAATCATATTTTACAGCTTCTGAAGTAAAATTTGAATCCTAACTTTTGATTGGCCAAGAAAAAATTAATAATTTTTTATTTTTCTCATGTCCGTGCTGTATTCATAAACATGTACTCCTTTGGGCGGTAAGTGACACTTTTGCTACCTTTTTGTTAATGTAATTTTTTTTTTTAATAAGTAAAAATTAAGAATTGAATTGTAGACATATGATTGACAGTACAAGTAATTAGATCATATGGTTGACAGGTTTTTTAGTATAACTTTCCTTGATCAATATGAGCTAACACATGCATTTCCTGATTTCCTAGTCATCACTTGAATGCAGTCAAGCAACAATTGATCTTACCACCACTAGGATGGTGGGATTATAAATGATTTACATAATGTTGATTGCCTATACTAGTTGTTATCTCAGTTTCCAATAAGAAATTTCAATAGATATAAAATCTTAAAACTTTTAAACTTTTTATATTCAAACATTGAAACTAATAGCGAGGAATTTAAAAAAGAAAAAAACATATTTTAATCTCTTATATAACTTATCATTAGATTCAAATTATGTACCAAAAAATAAAATGCTGCCCCAGTGTGCTTGGTGACTCGTTTGTGTTCTTGATGTTTGAAATGCATTGTCTGCATGATTTTCAACAGAATTTGATCCTATATGCCACAACACTCCCTCCATGTGGTCAAAGAAAATTATGAAGGTACAGCATGCTTCCCAACTTTGCACTCATTGGCCCCTACGTAATTGGCGCTACAAGGAAGCCCACCAAAGAACCCATCTTCTTTGCTTTTATGAATTAATGGATTCAAACATGATAAAACTAACTTCAGTTCAAAAGAAAAAAAGGATAAAACTAATTAGTACCCCTAATTATTCTATTTTGGTTGCTTAGATACATAATTTTCTTCTGGGTAAGTTTCGAATAATAAATTATCAAGTGTTGTGCAGTCCTCCCAAAATCAGTAGTTAATATTTTGAGTCCAATTGCAAAAAAGCATTCTTATTTATATACTTCTTCTTCTCATCTTTTTCAAATTATCATAACCCTTTAACTTTATGTAAATTAGTTTAATAATATTATTTAGCGCACAACGACAATTGAATTTTTTATTTAAATAAAAATATTCAACAAAAATTATATATAAAATTATTTAATCAAATTTATATAAAAATTTAAGTAGAACAACTAAATTAGATAATAAAGTATGTGTATATATATATATATATTATAAAAGCAACTCTCAGGGTGATTCAATTAATAAAGTATGAGACTTTAAATTAAAGATTTTAAATTCAAATTTTAAGTTAAGTAGGAAAAGATTCAAAAAAAATAATTATTTTTTCTTATATAATTTACCATCGTATGCATAAAAAAATATTATAAAAGTGGTTGTGCAACATTCGAATGGATAATCTTTAGGGGAAAGAGGGGAAAGTGGCCAAAAAGGAGAAAGTGGCAAAAAAGGAGAAAGGATAAGGTTCCATAAAAGGGCATATGAAATGGAGAATCTCCCATAGAAGTGGAGATTTTGAATAGGAATAATCCTACGATTGGCCCCTCAATTAAGTCATTTGTTTCTATCAAAGTCTCCCACTGCTTGCATTTCCAAATAAACCCCTCAAAATAGCATTCATATAATTTAAGGTGAATCAATCCAAAGTCATTTTTCCTGTTGTTCTAGTTTTGGCTATATGATTTTGGCTGTTGAATCCAAGTATTTTGCCATTAAAAAGAAAAGAAAAGAAAAAGTATGATTGCCTAAATAGAAGACATCAAAATCAATTTGTGTTTGCATTTGCTTTAAATGAAAGAATCAACTTAACAACACATGTAACACCCTAAATCCTATATTAATAGAGACTTGTAAATGAGTTGAGTATATAAATGTGGAAATAAACTATTACTAATAACTTGAACTTGAACTTGAACTTTTAAGATCATGGACCTCAGTCTGCAGAGTTGTTAGGCTAGTAGTGAGGTTTGAGTAGAGTTGTTTCAATTGGTATCAAAGCAATGATGTGGTGGGGAACTGGGAGTGACTAGGAGTGAATGTGATATATAAGTTTGAAGATCAATCACTACAAATAACTTGAGTTTGAGCTTTTAAGAGCTAACTCGTAGACCTCAAATCAAAGAGTTGTTAAGCTAATTATGCGTTTTGACTCTGGTCATTTCAGTTGATATCAAAGTTACTCCACATGATCTCTTGAATGGTGGTGGGGCAAACCTCAATGAGGAAGTTAAGTCCCAAAAGGGGGTATATGTGACACCGAAGTTAAGTCTCAAAAGGGGTATATGTGACACCCCTAGGCAAATCCCACACTAACAAAGCAAGGAAAAGATATTTGGTATATATGTCAACATCCATTATCTTCTATTGACGTGTTTTAAAACTGTGAGATCTAATGAGTCGAAACAGATAGTATCAATAGCAGGCTTAGTCGTTATAGATAGTATAGAGCTAGGTTTCGATAAACCTGATTGAGAAGGTAATCTTGGGATAATTCCATCGAATATGATAAAAACAAAATGTTCATAGTGCATCTGAATGGATCCATTCCATCAAATATAATTTAAGGGAATTGCGTGCCCTGCGTAAGCTCAACACACGCATTAAAACGTATATTATGGAAATTACTCTATCCTCACGAAGTCACGACGAATCCACGAGCCATTATAATGTATATTTTAAACTTCACACCATGATTTTTATTGTTTGTTTAATTACACGACATATAATTAGGTAACCTTCTTTTCTTTAAAAACAAAAAGTATTCGGTTTGATTCCTAAACATGAACATGTATTGTAATACTAAAAGTTTGCAAATTATTTATCACAGGTTAGGTAGTTGACCGAGAGGTTTCATTTTTAAGACAAGAGGGGAGTAACTCGTGAATTAAAGAGTTCATTTAATATGATAAGTAAAAATTTGTCCTTTTTTTTCTTTTTCTTTTTCTTTTTTCTTTTTTTCTTTTTAATAGTGGGATAAATACTAATAACTTATTAATT